GCAGAGACTGCTACTACACTGGCTGTCTTCATCTGCATCTGTTCGTGTGTACGTGATAGGAGTGCTAGATCATCTGCGAAGTCCAAATCGTCTAATTGATTTCGAGCTGTCCATTGTATTCCGTGTTTTCCTTCAGATGTCGAGGTCTTCATAATCCAGTCGACCACCAGAAGAAAGAGGAAGGGAGAGAGTAAACAGCCTTGTCTGACTCCGGTCCTTACTTGGAATGCATCTGTCAGCTGTCCTCCATGCACGACGTTGCACTGTAGTCCGTCGTATGAGTTCCGGATAATATTGAGAATGTTCTCAGGAACTCCGTAGTGTCGAAGAAGTTTCCATAACATCCTCCTATCCACACTGTCAAATGCCTTTTCATAATCAATGAACTTGATGTATAGTGACGAGTTCCACTCAACTGATTGTTCGACGATGATCCGTAGTGTTGCAATTTGGTCTGTGCACGATCGATCCTTACGGAATCCAGCTTGTTGATCTCGAAGTTGAGCGTCTACTGCATCTTTCATCCGGTTAAGCAACACTCCGTTGAAGACCTTCCCTGGTATTGACAGTAGTGTAATGCCTTTATAGTTTTCACATTTGCTCAGATCTCCTTTCTTTGGAATCTTGACGAGGTGCCCTTCTTTCCAGTCCATCGGCACTTGTTCCTCCTCCCAAATCTTTTTGAATAGAAAGTAAAGCATGTTTGTAGTTACTCCGATGTCTGACTTCAGTGCTTCAGCTGGTATGTTGTCCGGTCCCGCTGCTTTCCCGTTCTTGATTTGTCTGACGGCCATTCTGATTTCTTCCTTCGTTGGTGGGTTGACGTCTATGGGAAGAACTGTGTGTGCTGCTCCGATGTCCGGTGGATTCATTGGAGCCGGCCTATTCAGGAGTTCCTCGAAGTATTCTACCCATCTGTTCGGCTGTTGTTGAATTTCAGTAATTGGCTTGCCTTCTTTGTCTTTGACCGGTCTCTCTGGTCTACTGTAATTCCCTGCTAGTTTCTTCGTTGTATCGTAAAGCTGTTTCATATTTCCTTCTCTAGCAGCTTTTTCCACCATCGTTGCTAGATCTTCCACGTACTTCTTATTGTCGGTTCTAATGCTCCTCTTCACTTGCTTGTTTGCTTCTGTGTATTCAGCTTGTGCTTTGACTTTCTCCGCTCGTGTTCGGCTGTTGTTAATTGCTGCCTTCTTCTTCCTTTCTTTGATCTTGTCCAGAGTTTCTATAGAGATCCACTCCTTATGATGGTATTTCTTTAGACCCAGAAGCTCTTGACACGTTGAAGTCAATGCTTCCTTGATTCCGTTCCAGTTGTCTTCCATTGTAGTTTCTTCTTCCTTCAGTAGATCTTGCAAGGCTTGGAACCTGTTGTTGAGAGTTATCGTGAATTCATTGAGTCTGTCAATATCTCAAAGGAAGGCTGTATTGAACCTTTGTATTGCTGTTTTTTTCAGTTGTCCAGTTCTCTTCTAGCTTCAGTTTTAAATTGGCCACAACTAGGTGGTGATATGAAGCTATGTCATCACCTTTCCTGGTTCTCACATCATCCATTGTCCTTCGGAATTTTTTGGTGATGCAAATATGAACTATCTGGTTCTCTGTAGTGTGGTCCGGTGAGATCCATGTAGCCTTGTGTATACGCTTGTGTGGAAATATTGTGCCTCCTATGACCAATTCGTTGAATGCACATAGATTTGCAAATCTTTCTCCATTCTCGTTTCTCTGTCCCAGTCAGTCCATGTCGTCCCATAACATCTTCATATCCAGTGTTGTCTATTCCGACTTTGGCATTTACATCTCCCATTAGAATGGTGAGGTCCTTTCTTGTGCATTTCTCAATGACACACTGCAGCCGCTCGTAGAATTGATCTTTAATGTCGTCGTTGCTATCATTGGTGGGTGCATAACATTGGATAATATTCATTGTGATCCCATCCTTATTTGTTTTGAATGATGCTTTGATGATTCTGGATCCGTGAGATTCCCATCCTACAAGTGCATTTCGTGCTACTTTGGACAGCATAAGAGCGACTTCTTGAGTGTGTGGAGCATTTTCCTCTTCGTGACCGGAATAAAACAGCATCTCTCCCGTAGCCAGCCTTTTCTGTCCAGCTTGGGTCCAGTGGGTTTCGCTGATTCCCAGTACTGCCAAATTGTATCTCCTCATTTCCGTTGCTATTTGACTGGTCTTCCTGGTCTCCCACATTTTTCGGACGTTCCATGTACCTACAAAAATTTTTGCTCTGGTTGTTAGAAGGGGCCTCGGCCTCGTGGCTCCCGAAGGAACTCTGCTTTCACCATGAAGAATCATAATTCTTATAAATGAAGACCTTCTATCTCCCATGGCAGAGCTAAAATGGTTTGGATTATTTTTTTGGTAAGCGTTTTTTTAGCGAGTTAGTTTTCTACGGGATGGAGACGCTAATTCCCTGCCCAACTCTCCTCCTTTACCCGGGCTTGGGACCGGCAGTAACTCTAGAAGAGCTACAGGCGGAGTTTGTTTTGCCACGTGAATACAGACATGAACTATTCGTGTTTTTCGTATGTTAAATTGTTAACCACCAATCAATGCAATGCATATTAATGCGCTTAGATTAAACATCTCCAAGCGAAATCATCTCTCACCGAAAAATTCTTATTTCTTCAGATGTCGGTGCTTCTGAACGTTAATTTTCAAGTAAAGCGTGTTGAGAATGAATTTAAAATATTGAAATTAATCACAGATTTCGCAATCAGTTGTTGGCACCCCTGTTTTCGCTTAACTGTCAGCCAGTCAATACCCGAACGAATTTTCTTGGGGACCTTAGGCACTAGATGACGCCAACCAGTTCAGCAACGAATCAGCATGGCCTGGATCCCAGTGAGAGTGATTTTGCAACGGTGAGATAACATCGGATGCTTGGTGATGAATGAAGAAAAGTGAGGTAGACGCTGGTGAACTTGTATTGATAATGGTCACTAACCACACGATGCTCGAAGCTGAAGATATGACCACTGAAAAGATTGACATCCAATATGTCACACTTGGGGGAGGTCGGTAAAAGTGAACGCGGTAGATTCATTCAAGGTGGCATGGTTCGACCATGCAGAAATGGTCACACTATGTAAAACGTTCTGAATGTTGCATTAAATATATTACTTTTTACTCAGGTCAAGTGTATTCTTAAGAAATATCAGACGTTATGTAGCTGATTCTTGAGATACGACGAGTCAGGATAGACAATGATGTGACTGTCACGTAAAATCTTATAGACTAGGTTTTCACATCATGAAAAACCTACAACTTTGGAATTAGGTCTACCATTACAAACGTGTGGAAAATTTGCGTTTTGACCGTTCATGAGCGATCATTTAGAATATATCCTCTTTATTCCAGAGGTATTATTCTGTCATCAGTCTGAATGAGTTTTTGAAAGGTTCTTGCAAACAATGCCACCGAATTCCACCAAAGGGCGATTCAGAATAAGAAAATGGTGTGACATAGAATTTAGATAAGTCAGTGACACTGCTGCGATTAAAATATCTAATGTTAGTCTAGTAGCAAGTGCAAACTGACTAATACCGATACTAAGTATAAATCCCATAGATATCCGACAGCCTGAATTTATTTTTTATTTAATTTGTATAGACAATGTGTGAGGAAACGGAATAGATATAGCGGGCACTCGATCCAGAATATCTTCGGGTTCTTTTGAAAAGAACATGCTGAGATCCCAAAATGATCTGAAAGAATCTCGAAGGTCTGAGAGGTCACTGATGCCAAATATCATCCTGAAAGCATTTTCAGTCCTGGTATGAGGTGTATGAACTGGAAGGCTATGTTTAGTGGTCTCACAGACCATGAGGAGCATAACGTTCGAGAAGTTCCTCAGTCTATGACACACGGACGTCATGGGTATCGTATTGCGGATTATCTATAGGCTCCTAGACGTATGTGTTAACAGTTCTATATCAACGCATAGAAACATTATATCATTTGCAAAAGTTTAAAGCCAACCGAAGAGCCATTTTCTCTCCAGGTATATTTCCAATTTGTTCGACTTAGAGCACCTCGACATTTTCGAATTGCTATTTACTTTTAAGTGAGTTCACGCACATATAAACAGACATTGATCTCTTCGCACGATAACAATTCTAGGGAATTTCTTATGGAAATATAACCCTTGGCGATGAAAGTGCCGAACAAATGAAGACATGTTTTGAATTTTCTAGAACACTAATAAGACGTCTCATCTATCGTACTGGATCGAAGTAACTAGTTCATATCTTACTAAGACACTGACACTCCTGAGCATGCCCACTGAGTGGGCAAAGACCACCGACAAGTCTTTTCAATCCCATCTTGGCTTTTAGTTTCTTGGTAACTGTTCCTGAACAATATAATGGCGTTTTTGGTCATGAAGGTACGATCCAAGCTACGTTTTTCCGTTTGGTTTAATATATGTTATTGAGGATCCGAAATTGTTTCTTAACGTCAAGGTGGAAGCGTAAAGAAATCAATTGACTTATCTCAGTTCGTCACAAATATATTGCTTTATAGGCGTCTTAGAGGTGATTTATAGGCGTCTTAGAGGTGATTTATTAATGGCTTATAGTATTCTTAACACTTCTGGACATCCTCTTAAACACCTACTCAAGCTTAGTTCGAATAATAACCTAAGGGGTAACACCCAGAAACTGGAAACTCAATATAGCAAGACGGGATGTAGACACAACTTCTACTCCTTAAGAGTTGTCAAATGCTGGAATTCGCTGCCGGCCGAGCTAGTCCAAGCGACTTCTCAGGAGTCCTTCAAGAGGCAACTTGACCTATTCTTAAGGACCAAGGACAGTATCATACTATGATTTACCAATTTCTTTTCCTCTTTTATTGTTAACATACCTAGGTTCCTGCCTGGAGGATTTGGTGATCCCCTGCTACTAGACACGGAAGCCTGTTAAGCGAAAGCTTCTTCTATTCCGTCCACAACCATTTGAACCATTTGACCATTTGAACCATTTATGAAGAGCGCCTAACACAACATTGCCGCCACCGTCAGCACTATGTCTGAATTCGACTTAACAAAGAAGATAAGTAGTTTTCTAGATAAACACCTAACTTTACCACTGCTGGAATACATATGTGTCAAAAATGTAAGTTATTCAGAATCTTATTGCTAGATATATGATGAAAAAAGCATTTTGAAGACCAAATGGGAAGTTCTCTTGGGGACTTCTATGGTTGATTATGCCGCAGATACTTATAGAAGTATATACGAAACAGAGCCTCCAAAAGGTTTGACCAAATTACTATTCTTATTTGCTAGGCTTACTTGACAAGAGAGAAAAAGTCTTAGAGAGTATCCAAGAAACGGAGGTTAAGTTAAAACCAGTGAAGGTAATATTTAGTCAAGAAACAATGAAAGAAGTTGCTCAATGTAAAAACGCTAAAGATCTGTTGACTAGTTTGGAAACTAAATACAACTTCAAGACAGAGATGCTTAACGATATGTTTGATGCTGCACGCGTAAGTTGATTACTATAGTTCTACATGATATAATGTATTTATTGTGCAAAAGAAATATGTGAATTTTTCCCTCACCCACTATATCCAACGTAAATCTTAGATTTGCTGGTCCTTCTATCCATAGGTATTTTATGATGCCGGAAATTACAACTTATCATCTGAATATCTAAAAATAGTCCGCCAGCTTGTAACCCCTGGGACACAAAGACATTTGGATGCCAGTTGGGGCCGCCTAGCCAGTGAGATATTAGTCCAAAACTGGGATGAAGCATTGGAGGATTTAGAAAAGTTGAAGGATGCTATAGATTGTCAAAATGAAGATAGAGTAAGTATCGTTAGTCTTTTTTGCATTATGTTCAAAAACACCCTTTTTAACTTTTGCTTATAAAATGCGTTGTATATTATGAGGGAACAAGTAACTTGGTCTTATTATCCTTTTCCTCGTCGTATGTTTTTAAGGTATCGATACCACACTTTCTACATGTATTTGTCAGTGCGAATTCAATATCATGAGATAATAATGTAGTGTCTTTTTATACTAAACTGTTTGTTAAAAATGAATTTGCCGTCAAAAAGATGAGTACTCGAAATCAGTTTTGTAGAATACTCATCTAAGCCCGTAAGGGCCTGGCACTTTAGATTGTCATGTCAGATTAGTCTCAACGATTCATCATTCAGTTCTGATCGTAGCCAGTACCTTGGTTTGTTGATCAGACTTGTTTATTGTGGCAGTTTAATGGAGCTGAGTTAGCTGATAATTTTCTTCCTCCTTATCGTGCGATAACAAGCAGGTTGGTTGGGGTATGATAAGACCGGAAGCAGCAAACTCAGGGTTCGACCGTTTTAGGGTGTCGTGACGGTAATGTGTTTACCTTAGACGTCCAGCATTTGTAGCGAAGTCGCATCCTCGCGAAAAAAAGGGTCAAATGTCAACCCTAATATCAGTATACTTCACCTGACCTCGTGGATTTTTATCACCAGTGGTAAAACCTTGAATGCATGGGTCTAATCAGTCAATTATCCATAAGCGACGTAGGCCCCTGAATACCCTGGTACGGCCGAGAATAAGGAGAGTCCGCTCTCCCTCTCCATATGCTCTCACATGGCCACACGTATATAGTCTCCGTCAGGGAAGTCCAATTCACTGCATTCTCGCGCCGTCAAGGTGTTTACGAAATTGAGAGCACGCGAAGCGAACATCCGACGCTTTAACAGGGTTGTTGGACACGGACAGTTCATCTAGGAGAGTTGGAAAACCCTGATTCCAAACCAACGGTACACATGGGCTCCAGTATCTTGAAAGAACAGATGGTGTATGAACCAATTGTTGGTTACTGGCTACCATGGGACTGTATCTCCTGACGTTGCTCCACTACCTTGTGGATCAGACCTTCAGGTCGAAGGCTCCAAGTGTCCCCCCCTTCAGAAAACCATCTGCTTCGATTTGGTCACCCGGGCAGTATCACATCCCTCACACATATCAAATGAGATTTGTGTGGACACGTGTTACGTATGCCCAACCACCGACTTCCTCAGTGGTATAGGAGTAGGTTGGAAGAAAGCTAGGGGCGGCCAGACCAAAACATGGCACAAGTCCATGAAGTCACTGACAAGTGGGCTGAGCCATGTTGGTAGGTGTAGACTATCTGGTTGGGGACCGCGAGATGATAGCAACTGATAGTTAGAGACCCCGAATGACATGGCTCAAAATCGTTTGCAATGGCGCAGGTACATCCACTCTTTGTGTTCTCCTAAATTTTAATCTCCTGATTCCTCCTTGTCTCTTTTCCTCTTTCCAATTTTATTTGACTGGATTATACTCTTTAAATAATATCTTCAAACACTAATCTTTCTGATTACTGCTTATACTCTTACCGCCTCTACCACTACGGGATTTGAATCGGCAACTGCATCTCTGTGCTAGTGTGGTGTTGCAACTCGAACTGATGTACGTACGTACGAAGTTCTACGTTGTTACTGACCGTATGGCGCATATGTATTTGGTGCCTCCTTGTACCAATATGTGTTAAAATAAATAAATAAATAAAAGCGACCTAGAACATGACATGTGCGTATAGGCACAAGCTGCCATACTATGCCAGCATTTTGTGACGGAGTTGTCGGAACAAGTGTCAGTGTAATCACAATTGATTGATCACTGGGTGGTGATCAATGTCATGCTTGTCTAGTCCTTATTAGTGCAGATCGAATGCTATCGATCATGTCGCAATGTGGCCACCAGTCTAGGTGACTCGACACTGCGGGCATTATGTATTAAGATTTAGATGGTGGTTGGAGGTAGTCAACAGGAAACCCTGGACCCGGGTTTCGTGCTACTTGGCACTCGTCAGCAAGGTGTACCTGTAATCTTGAGGGAACCGATGCTCCCTGGTGGATTCGATCTCGTGTCACCCAGCTTCACAGTCAGAGACGTTACCGATTTACTTTGTAATACGCTTACAACAATAATCATTAAGTATTATCATGGTGTACTGATTTGTACTACTACGTGACAATAATAGTAATAGTATTAATAATAATAATGGCTTTGTGGGTTCAAAACAGTATGGCGATTGAGATGATTTCTCATCGGCTGACTAATTTAAGTGCATTGTTTAACAAAAAACCTGGTACCTTGAGTTATTCACGTTACTTGATGTAATCCTTATAAAAACATTGAAGAATATATAGTAACAGATTCATAGATTTTCTCTAAAAATTTATTACTGTTTCTGAATAAATTAAACTCCTGCTACTTGATATTAGTTTACTTTGTGGCTGGTGATTGAGTTTTATAATCATTGGCGAGTTTATTTGCTAAACCCCCTCTTGGTCTTTTCCTTTAATCCTTCTGCTTTGAAAAGGTTTGTTGAATTTACATTGTGCTGTTAAATCGATCAAGTGGATTATCATATATACATTTACATTTTTCTTTGCTCTAATTTAAAGTTTGTAGTTTTATATAGCTTAAATTCACTTTGATATTTCATCTTGTTTCATTTCTACAACTAGCCTGCATCTCGTACATATTTAATACAACTACAACAGCGTACATGGATGTTACACTGGTCACTTTTTGTTTTTTTCAATCATCCCCAGGGCAAAGAAAAATTAATTGAATGGTTTATGCAAAATACAACGTAAATTCTTGAATTTTAGTTATTTTCACTTTTTATATATATATACAACATCGTAATTTTCAAGTTGATTGTTTCTAGTAGATCTTATTGGTTGTAGTAGTTTTTTTTCTTATTTCGGACACCCAGTATCTTTTTTTAATGCAGTGAATAGTTGTGGAAACTTCAATTGTTTTGAAATATAATAATTCAAGAGACCAAATACTGAAACAACCCGTTAGATAAGTATTAAAATTTTTCTTAATTTAGTGTTAGGTAACAGTCACTTTTAAAATTTTCTTTCTAAGATCTGTGTTTAGTCTTTACTTTTCCAGTATAGTTATTTTATTTTATTTATTTGAACACATAAATATTGGTACAAGGGGGCACCAGATACACATGCGCCACACATTAACAATGAGAATGGGAAAAGAAAAAGAATGCAGGACACATATAAGAGAGAAGAAAAGAAAGAGAACAATAGTGACCGCAGATTAGTGTATGGTAGTGTAATATAATAATAGTAATAATAGTGGGGGGGGGAACGGGAAGGTGCAACCAGAAATAATTCTTTCAGTTAAAGAAGTTATGAAGAAAGTAAAAGAAAGTTACAGCAGGATCGCCACTGGCTTCTGTTCTGAGCCATATCTGATAACGTATCTGGCCACTGTGTTTCACCATCTCTAGGACCCCAGTAGAAGCCAGTCTTGTTCAGCTTTCTTTCATAACAGGACATTATGTCATACACTGACCACCTCTCCGCGTTTCCCAACCAGTCCCAGCGTCGATAAATAATATACGACGAGGAATTCTCTGAGACAACATTCGTAGAACATGTCCAAGCCACCGAAGTCGATGTTTCAAGATGGTGACACCGATTACATTGTCGTCTCTGCACCTGAACAGACGATGCTGAACCTCCTCTGTACTACTAACATGGTGTTTCCACTGAATGTCAGCAATCCCCCAAACGCTCTGGTACGGCCGAGAGTGGGGCGAGTTCGCCCTGCCTCTCGAAATGCTCTCACATGGCCATGCGTATTTAGCTTCTACCAGGGAAGTCCTACTCACTATCTCCTCGTGGCGGGGGTGTTGTTTACGAAATTGAGAGGACGAAAAGCGAATGTCCGGCGCTTTAACCGAGTCGGTGGAGACGGTGACTCCACCTAGGGGAGTTGGGAAACCCTGATTCCAAACCAATGGTGCACATGGGCTCCGGGATCCTGAGAAATCAAATGGCGTATGAACCAATTGTTGGTCACCGTCTATCATGTGATCACATATCCTGACGTTGCTCCACTGCCTTGTGGGTCAGATCTTTAAGTCAAGGACTCAGGGTGTCCCCCTAAGAAAATCACCTGCTTCTGTCTGGGCACTCGGGCAGTATCATAGCTCTCACACAATTAAAATGAAATGATAATGATTATTTCCAATATAAAAAAATGAGGTGTAAAGTTGCAAGAAGCCCATTTTTTAATCAAAGTAAATAATAGTAGAATATGACATAACAGGAATGACTCTTGTTATTAAGTATCGTCAAATCCACTTTAAAAGTAGATCCGCTTTTGATATACATATTTTACTTAAAGATTCGTGTTGTGCAAGGTTTCAGGTTTTGAGTACCCCTTTACATGCCTTAATGTAAACTTTTGGGTAATATCACTTCTCTTCAGATGAAAATTGCGCTGAAAATTGAATGTAACAACGTACAGTTGATAAATGGGTCGTTTTTTATTTCGTCTGGGAATCTAATATATATGGTTGAACGCAGTACAAATGTTTGAATTTAGCTATGTTATTTTTTGTGCTTTGAAATTATGAGTATTTATGCAGCATTATTAATAATGCTTCTTATGACAAACGTAAAGTTATGAAAAACTGTAGACACATGCTGTGCACATGATTCCTATAAGGTCTGATTTTAGCATGTAATAGACTATAGGATTTATTTGCCAGTTTTTTAGAATTACTTACCAGGGATCAGTCAATAGTGATCTTAGCATTTTATTACACTTTATTTTCAGTAATCATTGCGAAAAGCCATTCCGATTTTTCGTTTAAAAACTAAAACCTTCTTTTTTTTAATAAATAGACATTTGAACGCTATTCAAACGTTGGCGCCACATTTATTGCGTTACCTTACTGTGTGCGTAATCACTAGTACTGATAAAAAGAAAAAGAATCTTATACGAGATTTAAAATATCTTATTCAACAGGAAAGTTATTCTTATCGTGATCCAGTTACTGAATTCTTTGAGTGTTTATTTGTGAAATTCGATTTCGATGGAGCTCAACAAAAACTTCGAGTTTGTGAAACTGTAAGTCTTTTTTTTTCATTATTATCGTTGTCTATTTAACTTTAAACTGTTGAATTTAGTGTTGAGTAATTAGTCAATGGTAGTCGGTACGAATGTTATATAGAACAGTTCAGTTTTTTGTTTAATATTAAATTTGCATGTTTACTTTACTTAATAATGTAACCTCTCAAACCAGTGATGTTTGATAAAAATAGGTTGTCTAATCTAATGAACAATGTTTGTATATTAATTAATGATAAAATGAACAATATTTGAGCGAACAATTATTTTCAATGACTTCATCATCAACCTCTATAGTTATAAGTCCATAATGATTGTGATATTTTTACAAAGGCCAAAAATGAGACATGGCATTAATGAATTTGACAATGTTATATGTTATAAATGGTGAACGTTTGCATCTGTTACGATATATCTATATACTTCAAAATTGTATTATTTGCAAATTAGATAGGTCATTGAATGATTTGGAGTAAAGTGTTCAGTCACGATCAGTATAGCAGTAATATAACACAAATGAAAATGCAAAAAAATCGTGTGAATAAAATGCATAGTAGGAGAATTTCATCTCGTCAGTTGCGATAACAATGATAATGATGATAATAATAATAATATTGTTGTGTGAATATAATATGTAATAAGGGGGGGGTGTTATCAAGGTAATTACGATAAACGAATTGGGAATGATGGATGTGAAGAATAAAATAGATATAATAAAAAAAAGAGACGGACAGTTAGATTACGGCATCTCTACATAGCTGAAGGCATCTGGATCATCCTCTAGAAAACCAAACTTATGTATCCAGAAAAGGGTATTTTCAGCCTCTACGAATGGATTACCGGTTACCTAAACTGACTATTAGAAACATCTTACCCCCTCTTTTTTATTGATCTTTACATCTATTTTGATCTTTACATCCATCATTCTTAATTCACATGAATTTTTTTATTATTATCGTAATTACCTTGATAACATCCCTCTTATTACATAGTATATTCATACAACAATCTTATTAGTATTATCTCAATTGACGAGATGAAATTCTCCTACTATGTATTTTATTCATACGATTTTTTTGCATTTTCATTTTTGCTATGTTACTATTCTACTGATTGTGACTGAACACTTTACTCCAAATCATTCTAACCTTTATTGAATGACTTTTCTAATTTGTGTTTAATACAATTTTGAAGTGTATATATATCGTAACAGATGCAAACGTTCACCATTTATAACACATAACATTGTCAAATTCATTAATGCCATGTCTCATTTTTGGCCTTTGTAAAAATATCACAATCATTATGGACTTATAATTATAGAGGTTGATGATGAAGTCATTGAAGATAATTGTTCGCTCAAATATTGTTCATTTTTGAATATATTCTATGGGGATTTTTAAACTGCTGAATTAATAATAAGTTGTATGTATATTTCTCATATAGATGAATCTACCATAACAGAGAGCTCTTGAGGCTAAGCATAAAATACCATTACTCAAAAGAAGTCAATTAATAACGTGTCGGTACCAAAAATGTTTGTTTTTAAAACGTTTCACTGGGTCACAATCGCTTTTATCAACTAGAAAAAATATTGTCGTCTAGTTTTATAAATTAACATCCTCAAGGAGAGAGAGAGAAAGAGTTATTTTCCTTTTTAAGGCCTAAAAGTGTTCTTGTAAATCCGGTGTTGATATTGTAAACTATGAACACTCATTCAATACAATGAGTTATGGTCAATTAGATTAAAATAACTAAAAAACATATATGGATGTCATGGTTTTATTTAGAATATTAATATAAAAAACAGCTACACTCATTGTAGTTAAATGGAAAAGCGCGTTGTCGGGTTCCTCTATATGTGTGTACTTATTGATAGTAGTATTAGTAGTAGCTTAGTTCATTAAAATGCACAGCTTTCAATTATTATTAAGTTTAAACTCTGTATATCCTGATTTAATTTGAAAAGTTTAATATCGCGTATTATCAATTAATTATAGCTCAAACTGGTTATGCGCAAATGTTCTGTTATATTTCAGCAGTAATGTTCAACAACTGTATTTTACTCTTAGTAGTATCTAAACTCATTATTTTCTTCTCCTACACAAAGCAATACAATGTATCTGATTTTTTTAAATTATTTCAAGGTCCTGCCAAATGATTTCTTCTTAACTGGATGTTATGATGAATTTATGGAGAATGCTCGTTTACTTATGTTTGAATCATTTTGTCGAATACATCATAGTGTTGGAATAAGGTATGTTAACTGATTTTTTTCTCATTTATTTTACATGAATTAATCATTGAACAGTAATTCGTCATAACTTATTAGTCTATGCAACTGAACATCTGGCGTAATCTGTTTTGTTGTTAGGTCGTTGAAAATTGTTTCGGGGAAAATCCTGATTAATATAGTTTTCTTGCTAGTTGATAATTTACCATAGGGTTTACCTACAATTTTAAGGGAATTCTTACTCCTTGTTGGATTCTAACAGAAGTGTCATTCAACTTCTAAGTCTAATACTGTTATGTTCTAGCGAAGATTAAATTACGAGTAACTTCTGAGACCTATTAATAGACTAATATTGTATATTCTTATAGTATAATTATTAAGTAATTAGATTGTGTATCTTTATATTCATTTTATCGTAAGCTTCATTTTGACCTATAAATCATTATTATACTATTTACTGTTCCTAAATTATGTTCAGTTTATAAACTACCATCTCCCATGTTCACAGCCACTTTTTGGCTTTATTGTGTATAAATGTTATTTCCTATTTTATGGTACGTTGCTGTCTGGTTGATATATAAACCCAGTACGTCTGAAATAAATGATTCACATAGTGGAAGCTGGTATTGGTGTTCTGGACTCAAGTGAATGGGCTAGGCGAACACAGGACTAATAAGGACGCTAGGCTGCTCATACCGGTCGAACGTCATTGGTTTAGCACAGTGTGAAGATTGTATAATTCGTATTTCGACTGGCGGATAAATCACGTGATAACTAGCCGAACTTAAAGTCATAACAAATACATCACTACTGAGCTGTTTAGATCTCAATTGACTTTATTTAAAGTTGTATTTTTATGAAATTTTCCGACAAATTTCAATTATATTCTTTTCTATTCTTTGTAATTTGACAATTTTATTACGTAGAATGTATTTTTAATAGTTAATGACTACCTTTTAGAGACTTCAAACTCAGTAATAATAATTGACCGATCGATACAGTGTTTTTAAATTGTAGCATGCGAATAAGTAAATCCTCATAATATATTGTCAATAAGCATCTCAATTTTGGTTTCATACTAGTCAATACTTGTCAACACGGAGTATCTGATGGTGTCTATTGAACTACAACTTGTACCTTTCACTGCTATAATTAAAGATGTTAATAATAAGTTGTTCAGACTATAATTGATTTTGTGTGTAGGACAGATTTTCGAAATAATTCATCATTAAGCAGTAACCAATATTTTATTGTTTGGTCCTAAGCACTAATTGAATTCTTTTATATTCCTGTTAGTTATGTATTGATATACAGTTATTTTGAAGATCATGCTTCTTTTTTATCATTAAGTGTACTTGCTGAAAAGTTGAATATGGATGTGGATGATGCGGAAAAATGGATTGTAAATTTAATACGCAACGCTCGTATGGATGCGAAGATAGATTCCCAAAAGGTAAAGTAGTATTCGTTTTGTAACTAAATATTTACTGTTATCTAGGAATTATGTATTAGGTGAAGAATAGGATCCTTTTCTTCGCTTCATATTGTAATATGCTATATTAAGTCTTGTTAAAGCCTTCAACCACACGATGAAGTGACACGTAAAAGTCGGTGGTCAAAGACACAAGATTATCTGCAAATACCATTTTTTATGAAAATATACGGAATGGATTGCAAACCTCAATTCGTAAGGTGTCTACGGTATTTAGTGTGTCATTATACAATTAAAAAATGGATGCGTCCTAAAATGGATATATAAAGTTATTTACAACAATATGCGTTAAGTAAACGACAGTTAATAACTATGTTGAAATTACAACGGCAGACAAGATCTAAATAAGAACTAAGAACACCAAGAATTTAGTCTGTCACAGTAAAACAACTACTCAACGAATATAATAACAATAAGGGTAATTGCTACAAGCGTTAAAAAGATGCGATTATAATAACACATTTTATTTATTTATTTCAACACATAGATAATGGTACAAAGAGGCACCAAATACATATGCGCCACACAAATCTCATTCGATATGTGTGAGGGCTGTGATACTGCCCGGGTGCCCAGACCGAAGCAGGTGGTTTTCTTAGGGGGCCACACCCCGAGCCTTCGACCTGAAGGTCTGATCCACAAGGCAGTGGAGCATCGTAAGGAGATGCAGTCCCATGGAAGCCGGTGACCAACAATTGGTTCATTCGCCATTTGTTCCCACATGATACTGGAGCCCATGTGCACCATCGGTTTGGTTGGAAATCCGGTTAAAGCGCCGGACATTCGCTTTTCGTCCTCTCATTTTCGTAAACAACTCCCCCGCCACGAGAAGGCAGTGAGTAGGACTTCCCCGGCAGAGGTTATATACGTGTGGCCGTGTGAGAGTATTTCGAGAGGGAGAGCGGACTCTCCCCACACTCGGCCGTACCAGGGCATTTGGGGGCCATAATAACACATAATGTTAGAAATACTACTCAACAACAGACAACAATGGTGTTCTCTCAAAAGTTATATTAGAATAGAAACCGATTACTGGATATTAGTAAGTAGCATAATATAATATACAAAAGAGAATTGGTAAACAAAACAATGCAAATAGAGAAAGTGTGTACAAACTTAACATTCAATTTTATCCTAATGAATGGAGTTGATCAACAGTACTGGGTTATAGCTGTAAAACATATCACTCTACCTAGTTGATTTGGGGAAGATAACGTAAACTTAGCATATAAGAGACTGTTGAATATTCATCTGTGAAGTTACACTTTACACTACCACATCATGAAATGTAAGTTAAACAAGAAATGTTCATATTCCTGTTGCCTATTATCTTGAATCTGCTGTTTTTTATTCAATAATACTGGTCTCCCAACTCGATGGTATGCCAACGCTTATCGAGGCGCGCAAAATCTTTTTTTCAAAGCCTTAATCAGAACACGAGAATAAGACAATCGATGTGCCTTATGTATTGTCTGATTGAAAAATACTTGAGTTATAGAGGCGCAACAGTGAATGAGCTTATCCATCCGTTTCCCAATGTTTAGTAAACATGCAGTATCCAGAATTTTCAGACATTTTCCCGCTTAGTATGTGAATGTTGTATATTAGAATGTGTTTTTCATTGGAGATTTTATTTCAAGCACTTCAGGTTATCTACATTTTTCCGCTACGAACAATTCAGTGCAGTGCATCTCAACTTGTCAGATGGAAAATGCAAATAAAATGAAGATTGAGAATTAAAACGAATTCTCCGGTAAAAGTTACACTCTTACGTAGAACAATTTACCCACTAAATGATCTTAAAAATGTCTGAAAATGCTGGACATCACATAATTATTGATCACTAAAAAAACCCAGATGGATAACTTAATATCAACGCTTCCAACTAATAATTACAATTAATTTACAACAGTGAAATATATAAAAACAGATAATGAATCAAATGAAAACTCACAATGAAGAAGAAATTATACAAAACTATGTAAACTAAGTGTTTGGTAAATTCACGTCAGAAATATACTTACTGATGGCTAAAGGAAACGCAATGTTTCCTTATTTATTCTCCTCGTTCTGAAATTATAGATGTTAGTAACATTCAATTGTATGATCTGTACAGTTTCTGTTTGTATGTTAAATTTACGCAGTTCGTCTATTTCTATCTCTAACAACATGCTATGTTCAAGAGATCAAGCTATCACCGGAAAACGTAACGCAATTCAGCAACATGCCGACGGAAAAGCTAACCTATTGCACTTCTCCTCTGATCTGCTAACTAGAGGAAGAAGATCAGATTCAGTCGAGAAAATATATAATTCCACAAGCAAGCTGAAAACATGAACAACAAGCACACAACTCATGTATATGTATATATGGTACAAAAATATTCTTGAAGAACGTCAGAAAATAGCATATTAAAAGAGAAATCTAACCAATGAGGTTGACAGTCCTTCCAGGTGGGAAGCACAAACTGAAAGTTAAAATAGGCATTTTTGGCTCGAAAGTGAGAATTTTAAATTTCCATTATTAAGTTACAGAAATAAGAAGTTTACTAAGTAATTTCTGGGGAACTAGCATCCCCAATACAACAGTACATATTTGTGAATATGTTGTAATTATATTTTTCCCTATTAATGTCATACCATTAATCTCAATACAGTTGATAAAATTATATAATTATAATATAAATCACGAACTGTTGTATATATTTATGTATATAGGGTGTTATTGTAATGGGAACACAGAATGTTTCACCGTATCAACAAGTTATTGAACGAACTAAGAGTAGTGGAACATGTGCTCATAAACTATTGGAAAGATTGCGTTGGGAGAAATCAATCGATACAGAACTGGTAAGTCATATATATATATCTATCATTGATCTATTCATTTATCTTTTAATATCGAATAATAATACTAATGGTTATTATTATTATATCGAATGAATTTGTTTTTCCATGCTTAATTTATTCCTAAAACTCCCAACGTAAATAGATACATAGATTATTCATGTTTACGCATAATTGCAGTGTGTATTTGTTTGTTTGTTTGTTTGTTTGTTCACGTTGTATACACACATATGTGTGTTTCTGTTTTATAATATCTCTTTTTTTCTTATATCTTATTCAACTATTTCCCACTATTTTTCATTATTAGTTGGCAGTCAGTTCGTTCGTTAGTTAGTTAGTAAGTTATTCAATGTAGTTTATTCTAACTACTCTGATTATTGTTGCCCTGTATAATAACATGCGCGCACGCGCACATGCACACACATAGAGAGACACATACAAAGTGAGGAATAAACAATGATGTGCACAGGATCTATGACATTTGGATGTGACATTGTTTCTTTTTATCGTTGTTTTTATTATCCAACATTCAATAGATTTGAGTAGGTGGATGTTATTATTATTATTATTATTATTATTATTATTATTATTATTATTATTATTATTATTATTATTATTATTATTCACATTGATGAGTTAATTGCCAAATGCAATAAACATTTTGTTCACTCCAATAATACGTCTTACTATTTGAATGTTTTCTATATCATTACTATAATGAGTTATTTGATAAGTTATTTTGCTAGCTTTTCATTCTTCTAATACTTTAGTTTGTTCTTTTATTGATTCCCTTTGATTGTAGTGATTTTATTTGGTTATATTCTCTTAGATATATCTTTGTCATCGTTGGGGATGATAGATCCCCAAAACTTGGTAAATGTCTTATTTCTGTAAATTTTTTTTCTTGAAAATTTGGATTTCTCATTTTCGCAACAGAAGCGCCCTATTTTTTTCACCTTCAATTTGATTCCCATCTATAAAGACCTTTAGCCTCATTGATTAGATTTATCTTTTAGTACGCTATTTTTTGGCGTTTTTCAGGAACATTTTTGTACTCTCTCTCTCTCTCTCTCTCTCTATATATATATATATATATATATATATATATATATATATATATATATATATATATATATATATATATATATATATATATATATATATATGCACGAGTTGTGTGCTCGTTGGTTCGTGCTTCCGACCGATTGCGGAATATACTTTCCCTCCTCTGAATCTAGTCTTCTCCCTTTAGTTTGCATTGCAGGGACGCATTAGAATAGTTTAGTTTATCCTGTGTTTATGTTACTGACTTGCGTTCTGTTCGCCAGTTTTTAGTGATATCTTCGAACGTAGCAGCCATTCCAATACATATCGTTATAGTTTGTAATAATGAGTTCGATAGTTATGTAATAAGGATGACAAGAATGAACACGTGTCATGTTTATTATATTCTAGACGATTAATGGATTGACACTATTATTGACTGAAAATAATCTATGCATCTGTTGTGGTAATTTTAGAGGGCATAAAGGGTTTCAGAATCCTGAGGGAACAAATGGTCACTGTCTACCATGTGACTGAAACTCCTAACCTTGCTCCACCATCTTGTAGATTTGGCCTCTATGTAAAAGAGTCGGGGAGTAACCTTCTGTGAAACCACATGTTTCTGTTTGGACACACGTGCAGTATCCCAATCCCAACCCGTTCACATTCAGTGATTTCTGTGGTTCATATATGTATATGTATTTATATATATATTGGTGCCCATTTGTTGTAATATTTTTTTGGCGGTTGTCATTTAAGTACCGTTTTATTTAGATTATTCTTTAGTCAGTTAATCTCGTAGTACATCACTAGTAATATCTTCGTTGAATTATAATTTTAGGAAGAGAGATTTCTTGCTCACATCAAACAACACCATAAATAAAGAACTAGAATGTATTCATAATATTTTTCATTGAAATTAGTAATCTATCAGGGGTTTTCGAAAGAAGAAGTACTTACATCTAATGAAAAGATCTTGTAATGACAAGGAACAATTCAGTAAGAAATCTCTCTTCTTCAATCTACAATATAATAAAGATATAATTTATGATCTACTACAAGATAAACGGATTAAATAAATCTATTCAATGTTTTATTCTTGACTAATTTTACTACATTACATGAACTGTTCTCATTATTTCTTTCATTTTATTGATCTAATGTTTTTTTTTTGTATTTCATTTTGTAGTGGACCTCTTCAAATCTGCACGTCTATTGATTTGATGATTGTTGTTGAAAAGACAAAAATTGTTTCTTTTTCCTATTGATGAATTTTTTTTCTAAACACTATGAAGTAATAATTATTATCACTAATAAGTATATCCATTCAATTGACATATGTTTACTGGTGTATCATATACTTCCTACTGTTGCTTGTTTGTGTTTGACTACTGGGATTCATTTAGGGAATATCGTTTAGATAATTCGAATCTCTTTCTGTATATGTAAATGAAATTGACATAACAGATTGATTACGTAAAAGATGATTGGTTTTCTTCAATTTCTTGACATTTTTATGATACACTATTCTTTACAATTTGGTAATGGATTTTCTGTCATCAATAATTGATTTCTTATTTTTTTTTGGAAGGGAGTTATTATGGAGAGATGATAAATGATTTTAGGTCATATTAAAATTCCTGATAAAAATCCAACTGTTTATTAATAATATCGTAATTCAGTCATACTACATTAAAATATTGTCCACTTTGATCTCTACTAAATAGTGTGAACATTGTGTTCGTCATTTGAATTATCGTTATTTAGAGTGGATCAATCAATCATAGACGATGTAATACATCATATAAGTGTACATGTGTATGTAGTTAAGTCCGATTAACAATAATCTGACATCAGCATGTTTAGTAAGGCAAGTGAAAGAACTGAAAAAATCGGGAAAGGAGGGTGATGGTGATGTTTCCACCTCTTCCAGTGTTTCTCAATCGAATATGATTGGGTTGGTGTTCTCCGTGTTATATTTGAAGATCTTGCTATTTCCATTGTGTATGTCGAGGTTTACTGATGCAAGGGCTTTTGCTACACTGGTCGTCTTCATCTGCATTGGTTGGTGTATATAAGATAGAAGAGATAGGTGATCTGTGAAGTCCAAACCATCCAGTTTTAGGCAAGCTGTCCATTGTATTCAGTGATTCCTGTGATATTTGGAGGTTTTCATAATCCAGTCAACTATCAGAAGAAAGAGGTAGAGTATTCATCCTGGTCAGAATCTGGTCCTCACTTGGAATGCGTCTCTAAGTTGTCCTCCATGCAAGTCTTTGCACTAGTCCATCCTATGAACTCCGTATGATGTTGACGATTTTCTCAGGTACACCATAGTGTCGAAGAACGTTTTGTGAGTTTCTCCTATCCACATTGTCAAAAGGTGGTTGTATGTGGTGGTGGTTGTATAGGTGGTTGTATGTGCGGATTTTAACTCGTTTCACCTTACATCTCCACAGGTAATTGATAATTATACAAATTAGTCCGGTGATAGGTCTGAATCTATCCATATGGGTTAGAACTATTGACAAGCACTTCATGAACGGATATAATATTTTTGCTTAATCGAATCTACCAACTTCTATGGTTTTCTATACTGTATATGAAGTTAGTTGGTATCTAAGAATGGCTTATACACGGAACTCATCTATTCCAGTCGAAGGTTCACGTTCTAACTAAAATCATGTACCTAACTTCGGCATCACGCTATCAGTAATACAAAGATATGTGATCGAGTACTTGCTATAGAACACACCAAAAGATGCGAACGGACGACTGAAGGCTACGTATTATATGAATACTTTGTGACTTGTCGCAGTTAGTATATATTTCTATCTATTGTTGTGCTTTACTGTATAACCGAGTTATTCGAAACGTTAGGCGTGTATTTCTGTAATCAAGAGAACTGCTCAGCAATTAACTTTATCACGAAAAAGATGAATTAAATAATAAACGACTACGCACGTTTTGCTTAACATATATAGTGATATATTTTTGATTTATTCTTAGAAAGTAATCAAATTATACAGATGTTTCAAATCTAACTAGACAAGATATACAGTAGCTTTACAAATGTTTAGCCCCTAAATGCCCTGGTACGATCGAGGGTTGGAAGAGTCCGCTCTTTCTCTCGAAATACTCTTATATAACCACTTTCAAGGAAATCTTACTCACTGCCTTCTCGTGATCGGGGTGTTTACGAAATTGAGAGGACGAAAAGCGAATGTTTGGCACTTTAACCGGGTTGGTGGATAACGGAGGAGTTGGATAATCCTGATTCCAAAGCAATGGTGAAAATGGGCTTCAGAATCCTGAACGAATAAATGGCATACGAACCTATTGTTGTTCACCGTCTATCATGGGACTGCATCTCCTAACATTGCTCCACTACCTTGTGGATTAGACCTTTAGTTCAAAGGCTCAGGGGAGTGGCTGCCTAAAAAAACCCATTTTCTTCGGTTTGGGCACCCGTGTTGTATCCCAGCCATCACACAAATCGAATGACTTGTGTGGTGCATATATATTTGACGCCTTATTTTACCAATGTTTATTTGTTTAAATAAATAATGCTGATATGACACCCAGTTAAATATTTTTCTCTTCACACCTGATATGTTAATCAAATTTTCATTTGAAAATCATCCAGTCGATAATCTTCGTTTATCACTTAAATAATTATTATCATACCAATAGAACTTGATAACTAACTAGTGTACATATCTTCAAACCAATTATTACCACGTTAACCATTATATGTAATTACTTAATGAATAGTTTGTTATGAAAGCTTTGTTTATATCAAAATTAGATCATAGAGATTAATGTAGTTTTGTTATAGGTGATTAGTAAAGAGTATGTAGTTCAGTTACGATTACGGCTGTTTAAAATAAAACAATTCTGGAAGAAAGGTAGTTCGATAATGTTATATTGGAATCGCTTATTATTTATACTTGAAAAGACAAGAAAACATTATAATTTCCACAACGCAAAGTAAGAACACCAAGACTGATACAAATGAAGATTTATTAACTCCAAAACACGAAGACGACCTTTAGTTGAAAATTCACTTATTTATATAATGATTATACACATTTTACTTATTAATTAGAATGAAATAATACCCAGAATTATAACAAACTATATGTAAAGTGTTATTCTGAGGATAGTGCATTCTAATTGAATACAAGAGTTGTAATGTTTTACCGGATAAAATACCAAACTGAGGAAAACAAAAAAAAACAATTGGTTAATCACTGGGTGGTGATCAATGTCATATGTGTCCGGTCCTTCTTAGCGCAGGTCGAATGCTATCAACAAAGTTGCAATATGGCCACTAGTTTAGATGACTCGACATTGTGTGCACCATGCTGAGGTAAGATGGTGGTCGAAGTTAGTCAACAGGAAACTGTGGACCCGGGTTTCGTGCTATTTGGCATTCGTCAGGAATTTTTACTTGTAATCCTGAGGGGACTAGTGGTCCCTGACGCATTCGATCTCGTGTCACCCAGTTTCACAGTCAGAGACGTTACCATTGGACTATCCGAGCCGCTATCGTCCTCCTGTAAGACAGATGTATTCACAATTGATTGGTCACTAGGTTGTGATTAATGTCAGGTCTTTTTTAGTGCAGGTCGAATACTAGCAACCAAGTTACAATATGGCCACTAATCTAGGTGACTCAACATTGCGTGCACTATATTGAGATAAGATAATTGTTGGAGGTAGTCAACAGGAAACGGTGACACGAGACCTAATCCGTCAGGGAGCATCAATCCCCTCAAGATTACAGATACACCTTACTGATAAGTGCCAAATAGCACGAAACTCGGGTTTAAGGTTTCCTGTTGATTATCTCCAACCACCATCTTAAACATAAATACTACACTGAGTAATCATTATATCGAATTAATAAATGGAAGTAATGTTGACCAAATATCATATTGAGTACAAAAATGTAATTTGGCCTGTTTTTTTCCGTCCCCTCCCCATCATATCAGAGTAAATTCTAAAAAAATATTTAATTAAACTTAATGGGCTAAAATCTGTAGATTTATTTATCCTCATTTTTGTTTGTTTGTTTGTTTCGTTAATGACCTTAATAGACATTAATAATTAACATAAAAAATAATATATAACACTTTATAATAATCCTCTTGTGATTTAATGTAAATATTGAAGTTTCGTTTTGTTTTACTTAATGAGGTTATTTATATAGATACCATTGGTCAATAAGTGTGACCAAAATTTATATTTACTAGAATCTACTTATGAGTAGATTATTACAAGATCTATAATGAAGATATAGACCCATAGGATATGAATATATGAATTGAAATATTATCAATCTTAGCTGACATGTAATTGTGTTTTAGTTTCTCATATCTGGGAAATCGATTATGTAATGTTACTTGAAAAAGTTGTTTCATTTATTCAAATGTTGAGAAGTGTAGGTTGAGTATTTATTTATTTATTTATTTATTTATTTATTTATTTATTTGAACACATAAATATTGGTACAAGGGGGTACCAGATTCATATGCGCCACACAACAACAATGAGAATGGGAAGAGTTAAAGAATGTAAGGTGCGTATAAAAAGAAAAAAAGAATAATAACAAATTAGTGTATGGTAGTGAAATAATAATAATAATAATAATAATAATGCGAGAAACAGAAAGGTACAACCAGAAAGAATTCTTTCAGTTAAGGAAGTTATAACTATTTCTTATGAAGAAAGTAAAAGAAAGTTACAGCAAGATCGCACTGGCTTTTATTCTGAGCTATATCTAACCACTGTTGCACCATCTCTGGGACCCCAGTAGAAGCCAGTCTTGTTCAGCTTTCTTTCCTAACAGGACATTATGTCATACACTGACCACCTCTCCGCTTTTTCCAACCAGTCCCAGCGTCGATAAATAATATACGACGAGGAATTCTCTGAGACGACATTCGTAGAACATGTCCAAGCCACCGAAGTCGATGTTTCAAGATGGTGACACCGATTACATTGTCATCTATGCACCCTATTAGACGATGCTGAACCTCCTCTCTATTAATAACATGGTTTTGCCACTGGATGTCAGCAATCTTTCGGAGACAACGCTGATCAAACACAGAGAGTTGTTTAACATCCTCAACTCGGCGAGGCCAGGTTTCACAAGTATAGAGCAAAACTATTATCATAGACGCGTTGTAGATCCGACCTTTTACAGCCAGGCTAACATCACGAAGGCGCCAAAGATGACCCAGATTGGCATAAGCCACCCTGGCTTTTATTATACGTGAGTTGATCTCATCACTCACGCAGTAGGTTGAGTTATTCGCTTATGTTGTTATAAATGTGGTTCAAGTGATATATTAAACTTGAGTGATTTATAGAAATCTTGAAGATAGTTTACTCGATTGATATATTTAAAGCCTTTAGGTCATCAATATTCCTGCTTCAAATCGAGGCTCTTTAAGTGTAAAGTAAATAATGAATGGATACCACATGAGCTAAAGCTAGAAAGTTTAGACTGCGAGATTGTACAGTGTTTGCTTCACGGTCTGAGGATCTCCCGTTCTATACCATACAGTCAGCTAATGAATTCCTCGCGATTATAAAACACTTCAATCCATATTTTTTTGAATGATTATCTAGGTAACAGCGGTGATTTTCATAAGCTTATTATTTCTTAAGTTTACAAAAGAATTCT